CCAAATAGAATTCAATGATACATCAAAAAAATAATTCACCATAACCAAGTGGGATTCATAACAAGTATGCAAAGATAGTTCAATATAAGAAAAACAATCAACATAATTAACCACATTAACAAAATAAAGAACAAGAACCACACGATCCTGTCAATTGATACAGTAAAGGCCTTTGACAAAATCCAACACGCTTTCCTGATTAAAACACTCAACAAAATAGGATTAGAGGGGAATTTCTTCAACATAGTAAAAAGTATACATGCAAGCCTAAGAGCCGACGTTGTTCTCAATGGAGAGAGATTAAAGGCATTCCTCTTGAGAACAGGAACTAGGCAAGGATGCCTACTATCACCTCTCCTATTCAATATGGTATTGGAAGTCTTAGCAATAGCAATAAGGTCAGAGAAGGAAATAAGAAGTATCCAAATTGGCATAGAGGAGGTAAAATTATCTCTCTATGCAGATGATATGACAGTATACTTAGAAAACCCTAAAGACTCAGCTAGAAAACTACTAGACATAGTTGACCAATTGAGCAAAGTGGCAGGATACACGATCAACATACAAAAATCAATTGGGTTTCTCTACAGTGACAAAGAGAATACAGAACTGGAGCTAAGAAAAACAAATCCTTCACAATTGCTAATCACAAGATTACATACTTGGGAGTAAATCTAACCAGAAGCATAAAGGATCTTTTAAAAGAAAATTAGAAAACATTACTACAGAAACAAAAGGAGACCTAGAGAAGTGGAAGAATATCCCTTGTTCATGGATAGGAAGACTCAATATAGTGAAAATGACAATAGTACCAAAGGCAATTTACACATTCAATGCAATTCCAATACAAATACCAATTCCATTCTTCAATGAGATGGAAAAGGCAGTTTGCAATTTCATTTGGAATGGAAAGAGGCCCCAAATAAGCAAAGCACTCCTTAAAAAGAGAAGCAAGGTACTTCACTGCCATGGTGGTCAAGACAGCATGGTACTGGTACAATGACAGACATATTGAATAGAGAATCCAGAAATCAGCCCATCTACCTATGGTCAACTCATTTTTGACAAGGAGATGAAATCAGGCAAGTGGGGAAATGACAGCCTTTTAACAAATGGTGCTGGCAAATTTGGAAAATATCTATAAAAACTCAAGCAAGATCCACACCTCATTCCATACATGAAAACCAACTCAAAGTGGATCATGGACCTAGGACTAAAACCAAGGACTATAAACTTCATTAAAGAAAAGCTTGGAAGAACTACAACTAGGATAGGATAAAATAGATGAATGAAACCTTCTAAGAACCAAATTCCTATGCACATCCAAAAACTTCTCCAACAGGGTAAAAAGGGAAGCCACAGACTGGGAAAAAATATTTATTTGATAATGATATGTAAGATAAGGGACTTATGTCTAGAATGTATAAACTACTCAAGCACTACAAGATAAAGGTAAATAACCCATAAATAATGGGCACAGTTTGTGAACAGACACTTCACCAAAGAAGACATTCAGACGGTCAACAAATAGCATGAAAAAATGTTCAAAATTCCTAGCTCTATGAGAGATGCAAATTTAAAAAAACCTATGAGATATAATCTAATTCCAGTAAGAATAGCAAAATTTAAGAGAACAGAAAGCAACAAATGCTGGGGAGGTTGTGAAGAAACTGGAACCCTTATTCACTGTTGGTGGGAGTGTAAAATGTTGCAACAACCATGGAAGGTTGTATAGGCTTTCTCAAAAAATTGCAAATACAAATACCATTTGACCCAGCAATTCCACTACTGGGAATATACCCCAAAGAAACTGTAACTGCCACCCAAGCAGATATATGCACACCCATATTTATTGTTGCTTTGTTCATCATAGCAAAGAGTTGGAAACAACCCAAGTGCCCATCAGCAAACAAATGGATAGAGAAGCTTTGGCATATTCACACAATGGAATACTATGCTGCATTGAAAAACAAGGAACTCATGAAATATTGTACAAAATGGGTGACCCTGAAGAACATTATGCTGAGTGAAATATCTCAGTCACAAAAGGACAAATATTGCATACTGTTGTAAAATGGGACTGACATTAGGTTGAGGGAAGACTGAGAAAGGGGATAAATAATGCATACTGCATTGAAACAGTTGAAGCAGAGAATTGTTTAAAAGTTATATTAGGTAATATTATCATGACAGGAGTCCAGAATGAAAGCTGCATAGTGCAGTGCACTTTGGGGGAGGAATTGTATAACAATGAAAGAACTGGCTTTGACAAGCACTGTGGCATTTGGACAAGAACAAACTGGGAGGAGGGTAGAGAGAATAGTGTAACAATGAATGAGTGGAAGCCCAAAATCTCTGTAAATGTTTATGAAAATTAATAAAATATAATTATAGAAAAAAAATAATGATAATAAAAAATAAAAAAAAAAGTTAAACACAGAATTACCATCTGACCTGGCCATTCCACACCTAGGAATATATGCAAATGATCTGGAAGCAGGAATTCAGACACTAGCTCACTGAGGTGTGCATTATACACAATAGCCAGATGGTGGAAGGCCAACTGTACATCAGTAGAAGAGATAAACAAACAACACACACACACCACAGACTAAGTAGCTATGATAGTATGGTGAATGCTACACAGATGAACACTGACAGCACTAAGTCATATTAAATCAGACACAAAAAGACAAAGACAAATATTATATGATCCTGCCACTTACATGACACAACCCAGAGGAGGCAAATGCTGAGAAGAAAGGTATTAGCGACTAGTGGGGGGAAGGGAGAAGGGAATATGCTTAAAGGGTAACAGTTTCAAGATGGTGAAAAATCAGAAATGGACAATGGTGATTGTTGCTTACCACGATAAATGTAATTAATGTCACTAAATTATCCCTTGTGAAAATGGATGACATGGTATATATATAAAGATAATATATTCTATATATTAATAAGTCTAAACAATTATAAAAATTACTACCAGTGTTAATTACTAGCAGTGTTATTAACATTTAGCCATAGTTCAAAGATACGTAAAAACTTTGTACACATACTTTCAAATAAACTTGGGAATATTATTAGTAAAAAAAAAAAAACCCTAAAACAAACCCTAATGACTGCTCAGTTTGAATATGGAGAACATTGATGTATTAATCCATGACACAATACATTTTTATTCTCTTCTGAAAGGACAGACATAGGTAACGCTTTCCAGTAAGTCAACAGCTTGATGCATTCTGTACTCTGACTAGCAATGGAGTGTTACAACAAATTCATCAGAATTCAGCATTTTCTAATCTGAGATTTTGCATCTCCTCTTAAAAAATAAATCGCGTCTTTTTAGGAAATGATAAAAAAAAAAAGAGAAGAGCAAATTGGAGGGGGAGGGGTGGGTATGGAGAAAAGTGCAACGATGAATGAATGGAAATCCAAAGTCTCTGTAAACGTTCATTAAAATTAATTTAAAAAATGAATAATAGGATGTGTGGAGTAAATGATGTGTTTAACAGGAATATTGGTATTTTGTATTGGTGTCCACCCTATGCCGTCATCTCATCTAAAATTGTTTATGATTCTAGATGATTGTTTTGTTGGCTGTCTTTAAGTTGAACCCTATGCAACAAAACAGGATCAAAGGATAGTTTTAACTAAATTAACTAATTTTCAAAAATAGATCATCAGGTATGTCTTCCTTTTATCAAATGGCCTACTACTCATAGCAACCCTATGAGCAAAAGATTGAAACATTGCCCTTTTACGTGTCATCCACACTTCATTTTGAAGCCCTTTTACAGTCTCTGTGTCAGTTCATCTTGTTGAGGCTCTTCTCTTTTTCTGACTCTCAACCTTCTCCAGCATAATTTCTTTTTTCCAAGGACTGATCTCATTTGAAAATTTGGCCAAAGTATGTGAGATGAATTTTCATCATTCTTGCCTCTAAAGAGTACCCTAGTTGCACTTTCTCCAAGACAGACTTATTTGATATTCAGTCCAACACCACAATTCAAAGGCATCAATTATTCTTCGGCCATGCTTATTAATTGTCTAACTTTGAAATGCATATGCAGCAATTGAAAATACCATGGCTTGGGTCACAGCTTAGGCCCCAAACTAGCATCTTTGCTCTTTAGCACCTTCAAGAGGTTTTTGACAGTAGATTTTCTCAATGCAGCATGCCATTTGATTTCTAAACTACTGTCACCATGGGTACTGATTATGGATCTAAATGAGATGAAATCCATGACAACTTCAGGGTTAATTTTCCTCCATCTATCATGATGCTACCTGTTGGTCTAGTGTTGAAGATATTTTTTGTTTTCTTAATATTGAGGGGTAATCCATAGGGGTTTTTTGGGGGGGTATACGCTAGACATTGGACTTTGGCTCAACAATTGTTTTCTGTCTCCCTAAAAGGTGAGTTCCACAGTCCCACTTCCTGCCTTAGACGTCAAATACAATTTGATCTCTGGCCTCTGAGCCACTTGTCATCAGGCTCACCCTTTGTAGCCACTTCTCCTCTGCCAAGGGAGAAAACATCACCCAATGTCATTGCTTCTTATTTTGAGGACCTTGTGGCTAATGGGAAGCTTTGGAGAGGGGTTCCCTGGCTTGTCAATCAAACCAGGTAGGGCAGTTAGTTAGTACAGGTATGCAGAACTTCAGAAGAAGTACACTCACACATTAACCCACTGGTTAGAAATACTTTATTAGTAAAGGGGACAGGGACTTGGAGAAGGCAGGTCTAGAGCCTCCCTTCGGTCCTTGGTAGTAGAGGTCAGGAGCATCAGGGTGCATACATGGATTGGTAGGAAACAAGAGGCTGAGTCATTAGGAATTTCCCCTGCACTACTGGGAAGCAACAAGGAGAAGCTGAAGTGCACAGCTAGCCAGGTAACAGGTAACAGCTCTAATGATGGCTCATCTGTGAGGAAGGACAAGGAGAGGGCAGTGAACATGAAGCAAGGTCCTCCCCTAGCTGTAACAGTGGCTCCCACAATCATCACCCCATCTCTCACCTTGGATGGGCTTGGTGGGTATCTGGCTTTCTGCGCCTCATCATTCAACAGAGACCTCACCAGGCAAGAGCGGCGGTGGGAGAAGGTCTCGAAGCTCTTCTTGCCATGGTAGGATCCCATGCCACTGTGCCCTGCAGAAGGAATAGGTGAATGCCCAGAAGACCTGAAGACTTCCTCCAGATCACAATCCTGTCCACGAGGCCCTACTCAGAGCCTAACCACTGCAACTCAGCTACAACCTTCACATGACCCTTGTCTTGGCTACTTCAGTTGACTAATCCTCCAGGAAGACCCCAGGGTGTTTATGTAAAGACAATAGGCAGTACTGCCCTCCTAAGGCCTCCATGAGGTGGACCTAAAGCACTCGGTGATGTTTCAGGTCCTTGTTGAAGTTTTGAGGTTGAATGTGCCAGAGTTCTAAACATAAGAAGACTGTGGGTGACTTTGACAGCCCCCCTGCATTATTCCAGCTCCTCCTACACACCTCAGATGAGGTTTCCCTAATCCTAGAGAGCTGTCCCAGAACACCTAGAGGCAGCAGGCAAGGAGGGGACTCAATCACAGACTCACCCACACCCCCAAAGGGCAGCGAGTGCACAGTGATATGGACGATGACATCATTGGCAGTCACCCCACCGCTAGAAGTCTCTGCAATCATCTTCTTAATTACCTGCAACACAGATGCCAGATACTGGGCTTTGCCCTTGGTTTCCTGCTCAGGACTCCCAGGGATTCAGCTCCTCCATGGCTAGTGAACCCTGGAGCACTGAGACCACAGTCACCTGCTCCTCTCACATGTTTTAATCTCAGCACAGGGAGCAAATGACAATAATAGCAGCTTACTGACTATGCACAGAATGCAATGTCTTATCTATATAAGACACTTTCACACAAAACACCTCCCTCCATGCTCACTTCAGCCTCTGAGGTGAGTAGTATTATCCTGACTCACAAACAGATAAAAAAGACCAAGAGATTCTCCCTGGTCACACAAACTGAGTGATATGCTGGCATGTGGCCCTGGATCCTAGCCCCGGAGGAGCCCCAGGCCCACCTGGTTGTTGCGGGAGAATACATAGAGAGCCAGGGGCTTTTCACGATGGTTGACAAATTGGATGGCTTCATCCAGACTACCCACACACACAATGGGCAACACTGGTCCGAATATCTCTTCCTGCATCACTGGAGACTGGGGATCCACATCTATGAGGATGGTTGGGGCTGAGGTAAGACAAACAACATCAGTTGGCTGCAAACTCATCAGCCTACCAGGAAGTCCAAGATCTACTTATCACTCTCAGTCTACAGAGACAGAAATCATGACTCCTCAACAGGAACCACACCAGCATGGTGTGAAACTAGCATGGTGAACCACACCAGCATGGGGGAAACTAGAAAAACTGTGTCCAGGAGAGCAGGAGGACCCAAATACTACACCACTCCAGTCTGCTTGGCAAATTAGGAACCCAAAGGACCCAGGCTCATGCCCCAACAGGCCCAGGCTCTGAACCCCCATGGTGGCACCAAGGAAGCAGGTGCTCCCTTGCTGTGGGCTTTGTGGAGAGAGGAGCCTCTGAGCCTGAGGAGGTACTTTCAGAGGTTGTGATCAGCTATTGCCTACAGGAGCCCCAGGCCTCCTCAAGGTCACTGTCTGCTTGCCAGTGAGGATATTCACTTGCTACAAACTTGCCAAGGACCTGGCAGCTCGACTAGTGGGGCAGAGCTCCCCGGAGCAAAGGACCTACCTATGTAGTGGGCAGCCGCATCCCCGGTGCCACCATGGGCAACTTTCTGGCCCTCTATCAAACCCATGACCCTTTGGAAGTGGCGGGAGTTGATGATCCTCCCATAGTCACTGGACTTCTGGGCGTCTTCCCCATAGAATTCCTACTGGGAGGAGGAACACTAGTGATACATACCCACATGCACATCGGCTGCCATCAAGTCCAACCTGTCTCCTGGCAACCCCGGAGGACAGAATAAGCAGTAGATTGTTTTGACATTTCAGTTAGCAGTTATGCTCTTTAACCACAGCACCAAGCTGTGCAAGCTGCCTTCTAATTATGCTTGGACAAACTGCACTGATCTCTATCTCCATCATCTCTATCTTTATTATCTCTCATCTATCTATCTATCTATCTATCTATCTATCTATCTATCTATCTATCTCCTCTATCTTTCATCTATCAAGAAACACACTCAAATGTCAGCAGCAATTCCTTACAGGAGGCAGGATTCTAGATGGAACACTTTTTACTTTACATCGTTTATATAACTGTTACTTTTTCAAATTATCCACAGAAATGTGTATTACACTTGTGCTCACAAAACAAACTTTTTTTTTTAAGTCCTGAAAGTTGACAATGGTACAGCCTCCCCTCCCAGTGCCGTACTGGCACACACTCACTTTCAAGCACTTTTTGAGCTTTTCCACAATTTGGCCTTGGATAGTGGGGTGACACAGGATATAGTCCGGGGCCACACAAGTCTGGCCACTGTTCATGAACTTCCCCCAGGTGATGCGCCTGTGAAAACCCCAGATCAGATGTTATCCTATGAGCAAATTCTCCCAGGGCAGTCATCACATTCTGTTTGCTTAAGTTCAAGGCACCAGGCCCCTGGTCAACAAGCCTTACAACCCTGACCAAGGAAGACCCCCTGTGTGGCAGGGAGCAATTCACAGGCTTTCCTGTGGCTGGAGTTCAGAAGTAAATCACTAGGATTTTCAAAGTGAGGACTTCCTGGGTGGACTTGAACCTCCAGTTTTTTAGTCCACAGCCAACCATTTGTACCACTAAGTGCTCCAACAGGAGCTCTGCTCTGAGGATTCCATAATGATGGACTTTCAGACATGGAGCCAAGCCCCAAGCATCCTTTGAGCCTTCTGGTGTCCTATCAGATTTTTCTTTCTTTTCCCCCTTTTTTTTGTGTAGGCAAATCTGGAGGTGCCTGGGTAACAGCTTTTATGCCTCTTCAGTCCCTATCTCAGACCCTGTGCAGTCAAGTGTTGGCCATCTCCTGCTGAAGGTCTCATGTGATGTAGGAATCTGAGCAATGTTGGCCCTCATGCTCTCCTATCTACCTGCTCCATAACAGAAGGCTAGATTCTGTAACCTGCAGCCTTGCTTATTTGTCAATGGCCCAAGCCTGCTTTTCCTCTAGTCATTAAAGGGCCTTAGCTTGACCCAAGTGATACCTACTCAGCAGGTACTCAAGGCTCAGCACTCAGCCCAGCCCTCCTCTTGCAGGAAACCTTCCCAGAACAGGAAACCTCTCCATGAGCATGAGAGGACATAGGTGTTACTCAGAGCTGAGCACAACACAGGAGGCGAGTGGGGACTACTGCAGCAAAGCCCTCACCTGCAGGCAATGTCCAGGTCACAGTCCTTGTCCACATAGCATGGGCTCTTTCCGCCCAGCTCTAGTGTCACAGGGGTCAAGTGCTTGGCAGCCGCCGCCATAACAATCTTCCCCACACCTGTGCTACCTGTGTACAAGATGTGGTCAAATCTTTCCTTGAGCAGCTCTGTGGTCTCAGGGACACCTCCATTGATCACTGGATACAGATCCTTCAGTACAAAGAAAGAAAAGGGTCAGAAGACAGTGTAGTTCCTCCTCACCCCTGCACACTTAGACAGTCCTACAGTCCAGGTCCAGGTCACTACTGGCAAGAAAAACCTCCCCCTCACAGCTCAGAGGCTGTCCCTAGCGTTCATCCCAATGGGAGAAAGCAGCTTTTTTCTAGGGCTGTCCTTGCCCTGACCCCGTTGCCCCCTGCTGTAGGAAGTTACTTGTTCTTAGCTTCTGCAATCCTACCTCTAACATGCGTATAACTGAACCCTGGAAAGCAATTCACCTTGTCCAGGTACCGAGGGATGATGGTGCCCAGCAGGCTTGCAACATTCTCACTCAGTTCCGAGGGCTTGAGAACCACAGCATTCCCTGCAGAGCACAGAGTCATGGCCAAGCCCCCTCCTCCAAGCCTCTACCACTTCCAGTGCCCAAACCTGGGTCTCCTCTCCATATTCTGCATCCTCAGTGAAGGACTCAAGGGTGACTCATTCCCAGGCTCATAGGGGGACACTTAGTCCACATACATGACTCCACAGAACCAGTTGTCCCTTATAGTTTTGCAGAGGAAGAAAAGAGAAAGGAGAGAGAAGAGCTTGGTGTTTGTTTGGGAGAGCAGAGCAAGAACCAGTTGCTGTGACTTGATTCTTACTCATGACAGCCCGTGTGTGCCCAAGCAGAATTGTATTTCACAACAGTTTCAACAGCTGTGATTTCGAGGAAGTAGATCAGCAGGTCTTTTTTTCAAGCTGCATCTGGGTAGATTCACCCTACCAGCTTTTCAGTTAGAAGTGAAGCACTTACCTGGTGGTACCACCCATGGAACCCCTTATAAATACCCAGTGAGAGCAGGCCTTGCTTTCAAACACACAGATAAGGAGAGGCACACAGGAAGTGCTCGTTAGGACTTGGGCGCTAAGAGGTTCCATAGTTTATTTCTCTTAGACCTTGGGAGGGAAAGTATCTTTTAAATTGTTATCTGACTCCAGGCTCTCTTCTGGAAGACTGAACCCCTGTCTCCCTTCAATTTTGGATGTGAAAGTCCCAAAATGTCCCCTCCCCAGGGCAGGATCCTGGCACCTGCAGCAACGGCGCCCACCATGGGCTGGATGGTCAAGTTGAAGGGATAGTTCCAGGTGCCGATGATAAGGACCACGCCCAGAGGTTCTGAGTGGATGTAGGACTCGTCCTGCTGGGTCTTAGAAGTCTTCTCCACAGGTTCATCCTCGGCCCACTTGGGGAGATTCTTGATCATGTAATCAATCTCCTCCAGGACATATACCACCTCTTCATAATAGCTATTCCATTCATTCTGTGGGAGAGAGCTCTATATGAACTTTCTGGTTAAAGTGGAGGTTGTGCAGGTTGGGGGGTACAAGGGTTTGTTTAAACTTGACTGTGGGTCCTGGACCCTTGAACAAGCTACTTGATTTCTCTTCTTCCCAAGTTCCCAATTTACAAAATTGAAGCATGCGCTTCACTCTGGTTCTGTTGGCAGGGTCCTGTGGGTACAGCTGGTCCTGTATGCCCAACTAGCCCAGGGCAAGTCACAGAAGGCACCACTGAACAGAACTGAGGGTTAGACAGAGGGAGGGTGGGTCTGTGGTGGGCCTCATTTCTGCCAGCGCTGAGGACTCAGGTAGGTTTGAATATATTTGGTTAAAGGTACACAAAAAGACTACCCACAGGGTAGGGAGCAGTAAATGGCATGGCACTTGGGACCAGGTCATCCTAACAAGTGAACACCAAAGTCTGTTCTAGAATAACACTTGTACCTCACCCAAAGCCCCAAGAAGCACTCTGGAAAGAAGCGGATGGAGGAGAGAGGCTGCGAGGAGAGTTAGGACACAGTCCAGGAAACACTGTGTCCAGGTGGCTGAGGAAGGAAGGAGGGCCTGCGCTGGCTGGAGGCCTGGCAGATTGGAACTCAAGGCTTCCAGGAGTTGGGGAGATGCCAGTGCTGGGGTGAGAAGGAGAAGAGGGGAGGGAGAGCAATCCACAACAAGACCACTTTCCTCCAGTTTGGCTAGATAGAAGTTGTAGTCAGTAGAGTGAATTTGGGTTTGGGTTTTAAGAGGAAAAGCCTTGAGAAATTAGAAACAAACAAAATATAGGAGCAAAGGGTTGGTGGTAGAACCCCAGAGGAAGAGAAAGGTGGGCTCTAAGCTCTGAGTTCCAAAAATAGGGCTTCATCCCTGGTTGAAGGTAGGATAGAAAAGGAGGCCAGTCCTGAGAAGGAAGGTGAGCCCTGTGAACTTAGCAACACCAGGTTTTTCTCAAGGAGCCCTCAGGGACCCAGGAAGTTTGAAGGAAGTGGAGACAGAAGAAGGCCATCATAGAGGGTGGACACTGGTTTTGCAGGATGACAGGCCCGTCGCTGTTTCCCCTGGGTGGAGAACCAGGAGTTCCTGCAGGAAGCCAGGGAGCGAAGTCTGGAGCATCAAGTCAGCACAAGATGGTTAAAACCACTGGACGCAAGTCTCAGGGAAGTGAAACCGGCAAAGAAAGGTAGGCAGACCAAAGAGAGGCCCTAGCTGTGGAAATGGGATGCCTCTGGGCCTGTGAAAGGTAAAAGGGCCACGGGCAAAGGACAGGCAAGGCGTGGGAAGGGCTGCAAACCTATTCCCAGTTACTCGGAGTCGCCTCTGAGCCTTTGAGAGCTGCACTTGCCCACCTTTAGTGATGGAGAGGTCAGGGCTAAAGGTCTATTTCTGACTATAGTCAGGCCCCTTCCTCCCTTTTACACGTAACGCCTGCAGACCCCCACCCTGCGCGATTTTGGCGAGCGAAGGGAAACGGCCTTTGGGGGGGAAGCACCTTACTGAGGTCCGCGGCCAATGCCCCCGCGATGTCCTTTTCACAGTCCTTGATCATACGCCGTAGCGCCTCCAGCTGCTGCACACGGAACTGCAAGGGGCGCGTCCTGCCGGAGCTGAAGGCGGCCCTGGCCCGCTTCACTGCTTCGCTGACTTTGCTCATGGTGCCTGGGGGGATTTGGAGAGAGCAGCGGCTGACAGCAGGGAGAGAAGGCGGGCCTGGCCCCACATCCATCGTTGGGACCACTCGTAGGCCCACTGACTCCCCTTTTCTGTCTCCAACTCCCTACTTCAGATACTGTCACTTTGCTGGGTGTTCTGATAACTTTCTGAGCAGGTGACAGATTCACCGTAAGTCCAATTGCCAAAGACTATTTTCTGCAGCGAGCTGTCCTCTCTCAGGTTCCCCTCAACCTCCTCCACTCTGTCACAGATCACAGTGAACCCCAAAGCACTGGGCAGCAGAATCTCAGCCCTTTCCAAAGTGGTGAGGATCTTTGTTTTCATCTTCTGTGGTGTTTGGCATATTTTAAATTGAGAATATATTTTTTTAAATGTTTGTACAAATTACAAAAGGGGCCTCAAAGCAGAGCAAGTCTTCCATGTTCCTCAGTGGCTGGGCTCCCCTCCACAAAGCTAGCTGCTGGGCTGGGTCCCACACCTCCCTTCCTATCTCTTCTGGAGAACTTGCCACTCACATGGCTATAACCATTCTGGAAAAAACAGATATTGTAAGTGTATTTGGAGGCTATAAAGCCACAGGAAAAGATTATGTATCTTTCTGCCAGACAGGTGCTACCTTTAGGAATACCCTACAGACTACATCACCAGAGCTCCCTTTACTTGTGTGTGTAGAATCCTGTTTCCAGTTCCTACTAGAGCTTCCCCTTCCCTGGGGGCCAACTCTACCCCAGCTCCAGGGCCTTTCACACCGGCAGGGGTAATCCTCTCCCCACAATCTGACAGCTTGTCCAAGAGCCTGAAAACTGCTGACCAGGACGACAAACCCCTTCCCCTAAGAAAGATCCCTTTCCTCCTTGAGCCTCTGGCCACCAAGCAGAGCAACTTGAGCAGCCCATTTGCCTAAGCCTCTCTGTTGTTGTTGTTGTTGTAGTTAATGTTGTTAGGTGCGAGTATGACTCATAGTGACACCATGAACAACAGATCTGAACCCTGCCCTATCTGTGCCATCCTCCCAGCCACGATGATACTATCTCTCCTTCCTAACAATCATGGAACTTGTGAAGAAGTAAAACATTTACCTGGGCTAGCAACACCCTGAAGCAGCTCTGGGTTCTTTCTCAGAGCTTCTTTAGCCCCGTTCTGCCTCACTATCTGGCACCCATTCCCTTCACCTACATAGCTTTCACTCCCAGGCACCTAGCTGCTTCACTTCCACCACTTCCTTGATTCTAACTTTGCCCAGGAAGAAGGAACGATTAGGAATCTAGTTAGCAAATGGGAAAGCCAGCCTGCCAAAAATGTACTGTTCCATCTTTGTTTCATAGTCAGCAAGTAGCACAATTAAGATTTAAACTTGATCTATCTTATGCCTGTAGTGACTCAGCTCCACTGCTTTCTTTACTTTCCACTGCTTGACTTGGTATGATTGTGTATCACAGCTTCTCTGTGGACTGTCCTTTCTGTCCCTGGATCCAAGACCCTTGTGCTCCTGTATCAGAGATGCTTAGAGGCCCCCTGCACTAAGTCCCTTGATGCAGGAGGATGGAGGACTCCCACTTACTCCTATTTAGAGAGAAAACAGAACCCAGGGCCAGAGGGTTACCTTTGACACTGCTTTTCCCAGTGGCTTGAGCTCCAGGAGTGAGCAAGCAGAAGGAGGAGATGTATTTATGGACACTCCTTCATGCACTCTCAGCCCTTGAAGACTCTGCCCAGGAAGTTTGCGTGACAAAGCAGAAAATGGTATTCAAATGTGGGGAGTAGCATAATCCAAACATCTGCTCCTTACAAGCCTCCGCTTTGGGGATTAGAACTTTAATTGTCTACTTTGTTCTGTCTTGAAATGCAGGAATGTAGTCATGAAATTTGGACAGGGCTCACCACATCCAATTTTCGAAAGGAAACTCTGTGTTTGCTATGGGCGTGGGGGCACTGATTGGTTCCACTTGGCATGGATGTTTTCCAGCTTTTCAAGGGGCACAACCCAGATCTATGCTCCAGATTAGCTGGGTTACATAAACTCAGCAGCAGATGAAGTGCAAGTCACAGTGAACAAGCAATAGCTGCCCCATCTACCAACAGGTCACTGCCTGGAATTTTCCCTCAGCCCCCAATGTGCTGATACTGGAGTTCCACCAGGCAAGAATCCAGAGGCTGGGCTTCATTGAGGCCTACTGACACATGATTGTTGAACAACTGGGAAGAAGGCCAAGAACTAATGAGAGTAGTCATGGGCCTCTTTTCTTGTGATCACTCTGGATACCAAGAAATGCTCAGGAAAGAAGCTGTAAAGCCACTGCCATTCCTGTGTACTGTGATGTTCAGCCAAGAGGTGCAATATCTTCCACTGTCTCTGGAAATAAATACAGAGCGTCTTCATCTGATGTCTCCAACAAGGTGCCTACTGACACCCCCAGTTGTCAGCATTCTTCCCATTTCATTCTGAGAACAGGACAAGATCCCCACCAGGGCCTGCATGTCAGTGGCAGATGCCTTCTTGCCCTCTCAGTCCCCTCTCCACCAGAACACCTCTTCTCTGTGCACCCAGATACACCACCCTCTAGCGTCTTCCTTTAGTTTCTTTTTCTCCAGATCACTCATTGTCTTCTTGACACACCATTTGTTTCTTTGTTTTGCTTGCTGTCACTGATAACTTAAGCTTCACAATGGCAGCATCATTTATTTGCTCACTACTGTACCCCAACACTTTGGATAATGTCCCGTACATAGTCTGTGTTCAAGAAATATTTGTTGGAGTTTGGCAGATGTTATTCTACAAATCCATCTACATGTGTTGTAAATGCATACATGTTCATAGTAGATCAAACAGGGGGACAATTATAAAATTTTCTTAGTCAAAACAAAATACTTTTAAGGAATGAATTCCTGAGTCTGGGAGTTCAGGATCATAGACTTAAAAGAGACAATCAAGGATAATTGACATAACATAATCCATGAAGACCAAATATTACTTTGATGGATAATGACTTGAGCCTTAAAAGCTTGTGAGTCACTTCTTCAACAAATGGTTCTGGAAAAACTGGACTGCTACCAGCAGAAAGCTAAAACAGGATCCATATCTCACACTATACACAAAAATCAACACAAGTGGATCAGAGACTTGGGAGTAAAGTTCATAACAGACAAACTGGGATCAAGCTTTGAAGGCCTAGTTTACAGTATAAAGAGACTGCCAAATACGGCTAGAGATACACAATCTGAGGAGCATAAAATTGATACATGGGACCTTCTAAAGATTAAATTCCCGTGCACATAAGAAACTTTTACCAACAGGGTGTAAAGAAAACCCACTGACTGGGAAAAAAACATTTGGCAATACCATCTCAGACAAGAATCTCATAAATAAAGTTTACAGACTACTCCTGTGTCTCCACAAGAAAAAGACTGATAACTCAATTACAAAATGAGGGAAAGACATGGAAAGAATTTTCACAGAGAAAGATATTCAAATGATCAACAGACAGATGAAGAAATGCTTCAAATAATTTGCAATAAGAGAGATGCAAATAAAAATCACAGTGAGATACCATCTCCAGTAGCAGTGGCAAAGTTTAACAGGACAACAAGTAATAAATGAGGATGTGGCAAGATAGGAACTCTTAGACATTGTTCATGGAATTGTAAATCGGTACTACGACTCTGGAAGACAGTTTGGTACTTCCTCACAAAGCTGAACATAGAAATTCCATATGAACCAGCTATTCTATTGCTTGGAATATACCCCAAGAAAATAAGAACTGAGGCTCAAATGGAAACTTGTACACCAGTGTTCATAGCAGCATTATTCATCATCACAAGAACATGGAAAGAGCCCAGATGTCCAACCACAAACGAATGGATTGAGACATTGTGGTATATTCACACGATGCAATACTAAGCTGCATGCAGGAGCAATGATTTTGTAAATTACTACCTACCCTGGGAGGGACTGCAGAGCATTATGCTCAGTGAACTAACTCAATCCCACAAGGACAAATACTGTATAAAACCATTATTGTAGAATGAGTATGAGGATCTAAGGTGGGAGAAGGGTGGAAGGAGAGGAGGGAGGATGGGCAGGGGGATGGGGTGTTAATCATAGGGTTGTACAATTCAGTGGGGGGGCTGTGAGGAAATGGGAAGGATCTTTTGTGAAAAACAATGTATTCAAACTCTGTAAATAAATCAGTACAATATTTTTTAAAAAGCAATTGTTTTAAGCTTGTGAGTCTTCTATTCAATATTGTATTAGAAGTACTTGCTAGGACAACACAACAAGAAAAGGAAATAAAAGGCATCCAGATCAGCAAAGAGATATCTGGTTAAACTTTTACTATATGCAGATGATAAGATAGTGTACACAGAAAACCCCAAGGACTATAAATAACTAAATAAATAAAATTAAAAAAAATCCCTGTTAGAGTTGTTGTTGTTGCTGTTGTTGTTATGTGCCGTTGAATCACTTGCGACTCATAGCGACCCTATGTACAACAGCCCTAAACTCTGCTCTGTCCTGTGCCAATTGCACTGTCTCCGATACACCCATCCCAATTACCCCAGTCACTTAATCTATCCACCTCATACAGGGTCTTCCCCTCCTGCACAGTCCATCCACCCTCCCAAGCATGATGTCCCTCTCCAAGGACCTGTCCCTCCTTACAACATGTCCAAAGTATGTTAGTCAAAGCCTCAGAATCCTTGCCTCCATGGAGCAGCCTGGTTTAACCCTCTCCAGGATGAATCTGTTTGTTTTCTTGGCAGTCCACTGTACCTTCAATACTCTTCTCCAGCACCACAGCTCAAAGGCATCAATTCCCCTTGTATTCTCCCTAGTCATGGTCCAACTCTCTGATGCATAACAAGTGATTGCAAAGAACATGCATGGTCTGTATCAGATGCACCTTAGTCTCCAGAGAGACACCATTACTCTGCAGTACTTTGGAAATGTCCCTAACAGCAGACTTTCCCATCACAGTACAT